CACCCATCCGGTGTTGCACACAGACACACACACACACACACACACACACACACAAGACAGACCTATTTGTGCTCTTGGAGGTCCATGCTCACCCCCCATTAGGGGGAGAGGGAAACAGACACATGCACAAACAAAAAGATTCTGATGAGAAACAAAGTAAAACCATCATTTCTCACCTAGGACATAATGGCCAAAACGAAAACATATGACAACACATCTTGTTGGTGAGACTGTGAAAAACAGGCATTCTTATTTGGTAAGAGTGTAAACTGGCACAACCTTCTTTGGAGAATTTGGCAATATTTAACCAATGACACCTCAACAAAAGGATGCCATAGGTTATGGATTAAATTTTGTTGTGTCACCCCCTCCCCAAAATGTGTTGCAATCCTGCGTGGAAGTAGCATTTTATCTGTCACATTAATGAAATCATAACTGAGCAGGGCATGTTCTAAATCTAACCACTTTTGAGTTCTAAAAGCAGCTACCGGATAGGGAGATAATGCACACACAGTGGTGAGGTAGGGTGTGGAGACAATTCATCTATAAGCCAAGAAGGAAGGAATCAAGGAATACCCAGGATTACCAACAAAGAAGGAACCAACATGGCCCAGAAGAACCTGATTTGAACTTTCAGCCTCTAGAATTATGAGAACATAAAACTCCTATAAAGCCACCAACCTGTGATATTTTTGTTACAGCAGATACTACATAATATTGTAAATTTCTCAGTTAATCTAAGAGTTAAACATGCAAAGTACTTAGCATATATTACTCAGCATGGGTTTAAAAAACCCCAACAAAACAACCCAAAACAAAACCAACAATGACAAAATGGTAGCCATAATTAAAACAAAACAAATAAAAGGACAAATATTGGACTGAACTGCCTCTAATTCGTTCAATCCTGACTACGGGGCTTCATGTGTATGTTAGTTCTTTACTTCATTTTCACAATTCTGATACTGTTAGCATTATGAGTGTGATAATGCTAGTTTTAGCAGCTACTGAAGGCCAGTACCATCCCCTTTAAATGTCCATTTAGGTACAAAATTCCACACAGTTAAGAACTATTATTAAAATGTAGAAACTAAAAGATTTAATAAACCAAGACAAAGGTAGGGAGCTCTGGTGGTCTAATGGCAAGAAGCTGTACTGCAATCCCAGAGGCACATGGTTTGAGTCCACCAGCTGCTCCGTGGGAGAAGAATGTGTAATCTCCTCCCATGTGATTAAACTGCCTCTGAAAATCCACTGTAGGTTCAGCTATGGGTTGGTTCTGACGCAACTGTACACAATGACAACAGGGGGGAGACTGAGAAAGAGGGGGCAAATAATGTATACTGCATTGAAACAGATAAGGGAGAGAACTGTTTAAAAGGGATATATGATTAGGTGTTATTGTTATGACAGGAGTCCAGAATGAAGGTTGCATAGTGGAGTGGACTTGGGGGCAGGGATTGTATAAAAATGAAAGATTTTTTTTTTACTTTTCAAAAAGAAGAGCAAATTGGGGGGGGGGGCTGTGGGGACAAAAGTGAAACAATGAATGAGTAGAAATTCAAAGTCTCTGTAAACTTTCATTAAAATTAACTTTGTTTAAAAAAAATGAGTTATTTTTCCCTAGACCACTGAAAGTCACTGAGGACTGTTTCATGATATACCTCTAATGTCACACAGCTTGGTGGTGGTCAAGGCTTTAGAATTTGACCATCTCTATTTGAACACAGACAAAATAAATTAACTTCTCCAAGTCTCAGCCTCCTCTATCCAGGATTAAATGACAGAAGACTGCTTAGCCTGGTCTGGCACATTTAATACATGCTGGCTATTCTTACTGTAAGGAGGCTTGGTCACATAATGTGTTACAAATTGGACTACGAACTAAAGCCCTGGGGGGAGGGGAAGTTTGAATCTTCCAGCTGCTCTGCAGGATATAAAGATGGGCAGTTTTTTTGCAAAACTGTACAGCTTTAGAAAGCCAATGGAAGGGGGTCTTAATGAGTCAGAATCAACTCTATGAAAAAAAAAAAAAAAAGAATCAACTCTATGGTATTGGGTTTGGTAGGGTGGGATTTTCTTATTCTTTTTTTTTTTAAAAATTTAGGTTATTTTTCATTTCAATGAACATCTACAGAGATTTTGGAATTCCATTCATTCATTGTTGCACCTTTCTCCCCGCACAAACCCCTCCCCCCCCTTATTCTTAATATAATCTATCCACCCTTCTAATCTTGTGCCTTCAGGTTCCAAATTCTTCACACTACACATGTACTTATTTAAACAAATCTTACTGTTTTCTACTTGTTTTTTATTGAGATGGCTGTTTAAAAACTATCAGAAAAGTGGAAAAGCTAACAAAATAAAACATAGTAATGAATTTCTAAACATCTTCCCTAATCACGAATGACTACTAGTTCTGGTAGCTTAGTGGTAAGGAACTGTACTGCTAATCCAAAAGTATGTGGTTCAAATCTACCAGTTTCTCTGCAATAGAAAACTGGATAGTCTTCTCCCATACAATTTAGTGCCTCTCAAAACCTATTGGAAGGTCAGCTATGAGTTTGTTCTGATTTGATGGTACTCAACAATCACTGAAAAACGATGAACGTAAATCAGAAGGGAGTATGTGTGCTGGCTTCGGCAGCTCATATACTAAAACTGCAAAGATACAGAGAAGACTAGCATGGCCCCTGTGCAAGAATGACACACAAATTCATGAAGCGTTCCATATTTTTCTACACTGCATTGAAAAACAAGGAACTGACCCTGGAGGACATCATGCTGAGTAAAGTATCTCAGCCACAAAAAGACAAATACTGCACGGTGCCACTGCTGTAAAATGGCACTGACATCAGGGTTGGGGTAAGAAAAACTGGATAAATTATGTATACTGCATTGAAACAGATGAGGGAGAGAACAGTTTAAAAGTGATATATGATAGGGTATTGTGGTTATCACAAGAGTCCAGAATTAAGGTTGCATAGTGGAGTGCACTCGGGGTGGGGCGATTGTAAACCAATGAAGGAGTTTTTCTTTTGCTTTTTGAAGAGAGAAGTGAACTGGGGCGGGGGTGGGGGGGAAGGAGAAAAGTGCAACCATTAATGAATGGAAATCCAAAATCTCTATAAATATTCATTAAAATTAATAAAATAAAATTTAAAAAAAGAAGGAAGTATGTTATTTATGAGAGAGAGTTAGAATAATAATCAGACTGGAGAAATAAAATGAGCAACTATTTGTGCTACTTCTCTTAAGACAAAACAATTGTTGTAACCAAGATCAGTGCTTAAAAAAAACCAAAACAAAACAATAAAGACCAGTGGCTCTCCCACAATGAAAGAAATCCAATTGAGAACTGTTCTTTAAATTCAGGATATTTTATGTTCTGAAAGAAGTTTTATAAATAATTTGCTAAAGGTCATTTATAAATGATCACCTGTCATGATTATATGCTATCCAGATGAAGTTATCAAGTACTTTTTGAAATATCAAATATTAAACATGAATCAGAGGTCTTGACAAGTAAAATGAAAAAGAACTTAGAAAATGGAATTTCAGGAAAAAATGTCATGACTATGTAAAGAATTTCACAGACGCCTCTCCATGCATAAAGGAATAAAATGACTATTGCTCACCTGTAGTTTCTGTGTCAAAGAGTCCCTCTGTTCTTGCAGTTCTCTGGCATTATCAATTTCTTGTTTTAATCTCTCTATTTCCTAGAAATGGTAGAGTAATATCATTAGCAGCATTTAAACTATGTATATGAAAAGGACTGCCTAATGTTTTCCTAAAATTATTGTCCTACTCCTAAGGGGGGAAAAATATTATTTTAAAAGCATTCATTTCTTTTGTTTTAGAGGGATGAATTCATACAATAATCCTCTTCACAGGTGTGATGTGAATTCAGTACCATCTAAAAGAACAAGCAAGTTTAACTTCATTATGGCACCACTTAGAAACAGCAATCTGAATTCTGTGACATTTGAAGACTGCCTCTAGCTTTGTGGATATAATTCTCTGATGGGATACTGAATCATTTCTTTTGACTGGAAATCAGTGAAAGCAATAGTTTGTAAATTCATTTTACTTCCACTAGTTTTGATACTGATCACATGCTAATCATAAGAATGCAGCTTTCATACAAAAGGCAACAGGATTATCTCAGCCTGATTTCATCACCGGAGTTCAAACCAAGAGAAGCAAGCATGGGAGAAATAAGAGCGAGGTGAATGCCACTGAAGGAAAATGTCATTTTGAAGGAGTATACAGATTTTTTATAAGTTTCTTTAATGTGTCATAGATTCTACATAATCTAGATTCCAGATGCATGGAACATAGCAAATACCTCTTCCTTTACTTTCAGTGTCTCTTCCAGTTCTTGTATGGTCTGATTCAGTTCTGTCTTATGGGTATGCACTGCATTTGCTTGACTACTAACACACTCGAGCTCCGTCACCTAAAAGTAAATGACAACACAGATTAAATCAAATGGCAATTTCAAAAGTATAATGGGTTAAACTGTATAGCTTCTCGGCTCCAAATGTGTTAGGAATTCTAACCTCTATAGCTAGAAAAACAATCCTCTTGAAACAGGGTTTCCTTTGTTATGTTAATAAAACCATACCTAATTAGTTTGGTTTCCAAATAGAATTAATTCTTAATTATAAGAAAGAACAGGTTGGATATACACAGAGGCAAGGAAGACAAATGAAAAGATAGATACACCTCCATGTCTAGGAACACAAAGAACACAAGGAGTTATCAGATCCTAAACGGTACAGGGAAGTATCTCCTCTAGAGCCATGTTCTAAATTCTGATTTTTTTGTCTCCTGAATTGTGAGAACAGAAATTTCTGTTCTTTAAAATAACTAATTTATAATATTTATATTACGGAAGCACTAAGTAAGTAGGACACAAGGACTTTTTAAAGGCATAACAAAAAGCTCAATCAACTTTGAGAACTATCAAGACATTCATTTGGAATGAATAGACTTTTCAAAGACAGAAATTTACGGTAAATTAAAAAAATCAAAGGAAATCATTATTTACATCACTTGATAACAGAAAGGTTGGAAAGCTTATAATAAGTGCTTAATGATAGAAGAGAATCTGTACATAAAAGGTCTTCTTGAAAATATTTCTCTGAAAACATATTCAAAATCAGATACAATTACCTGCCTTGTTGATAGCCTTCAAATTAAATATGGGTTAGAAAAACTTGCTTGCAGTACTGAGAAGTTTTTAAAAATACTATTAAAAAATAAAATCTAGAAGAAAAATTTTTAAAAGGTTCTTTTTAAGATACCATTTAAATCATTCTGTTTTAGAATGACTTCACATTATTAGTGTTTCTTATAGCAAAATGTAACAGGTTAGCCAGTAAAAATTCACTGAAGGAAGGACAACAGAATGACTTTTAATGAGTACCTTGTTTTATTGTTTTAGTTTTTCTTTGAGAGAAGAAGAGAAGAGAATTGTCTCTGAAGTCTTGCTATCCAAAAGCAGAATCAATTTAGACAAAATCAACACACAGGATCTCCCTGTACCACTCTGAACACATAAAAGGCTCTTGTTACCTTTTAGTAAATCATAGATTATAGATACAGTAAATGCTAGTCTATTAAGAAAAGAGTAAACCTTTCTTTTAATAGTTTTCAAATATTTAATCATTGTTCACATTCTGTTACTATACTTACGTATTTTGTTCCCTTAACTTTCCTGTACTAATTTCCTTGTAATGGACTCTTATCAACCAGGCATGAACAAAAGGAATATTCTCCCAACTGACTTAATTATAATTTTTGTCTACTTGTATTTATTCAGAAAACATATTCATCTTTCATCGTGTGAATTCCATGTGCAATGTCTTTCTATGGCTAATCCTGTTTACAACAGTAAATCTAAACTCTCAGGTTCTTCATATATTAGCTTCATCCTATTTAACCGTCTTTCTCTCCCAAAACATCCGGTGCATACTTCAAACTAAAAGCAGGCAAGCCTCCTTTCTAAGGACAAATTATGTTACATCCATCTTCCCGATCTTAATACAATAGAGTTTCTTCCTTCTGAAGACTATAATCAGATCCTACCAATGCTGGAAAAACTTGGCTTAGCACATACTTTCTCCAGAAAACCACTCCTTAAAACCTTCAAGTTTTTCCTGCTGTCTGGTTCACGATACTGAACATCTGTTCACATTTCATGGAAATTATTGCTTAATATATATTTGTTTTCTTTGTCCAAAAGGATCATAAATTCCTTAAGGCAGTTCTAGTTCCACTGACAATAGAACTGGCTTTTTTTTAATTGAACGAAATTTCCTGTAGATAATAAATGAAAATGGTAGACAAAGTATAAAATCAACTATTTAAAGGCTCTAGTGAGGGACTAAATAAGGCAAAAAAGTTGCAAGAAAGCCATCACATTTAGTGAGATACAGATTTACACATCTTCTCATAGAAGAGATCTATGTTCGTATTGCCTGGCTTGAAGTCAAACAAACACCCACCGTCTTATTACTTTATAAAACCTAAGGATTCAAGGACTCATCAGAAGAGCTAAAAATTGAAGAAATATATATCCTGCTTCCAAATATATATAACTATATGTATATATATAGTTATAAATACACACACACACACACACGCGTGCGCATGAGTGGAAATCTCCATATATGCATGTAAGCCTAATTCAAATATTAGTCGAATCTTTGACTGAATGTGCATTGTGAAAGTAAAGAAGTCCAAGGGGTTGGGAAAATAGCTGAAAAATTAAGTTATGGTGGTACTTACCAAAGAAAAGACAACTTGAAATCTGAGTTCTGTCAAATTAGAAAGCCCTGATAAATGGTTTAAGTTAACCACCGAAACCTCAGAAGATAAAGATTATAAAAACTTCCTAGGACTAAGAGATTCACTTTAGGATTAAAGGCAATAATAAAAGGAACAATCTTAATTAAGTATAAACCTGTGTAGCTCCACAAATTCAAGGTCACTTATAATCAATTTAACTGCTTGCTGAAATGAAATTCAACACTGTTTAGAGGAGGGTAAAAGAATTGACAATCTCTATCTATAACTCACTTATAATATTCAATATACAATACAAAATGGCTAGAAACTGAAACATTTAGTCTGTAGGAGAGACAAAAATCATCCTATAGAAACAGACTCATAAAAGATGAGACACTTCAACTGGTGGGAGGGGGGAATAAACCTTTAAAATAATGATAATAAATAACAATAAAAATGAATGTGTGAACAGATAAGTAATTACATGAGAGATTTAGAGACTAAAGTGAGAGCTAAGTGAAAATTCTAGAACAAGAAAATATGAGAAAATTTTCAAAAGTAACTCTATAGGACTAACAGCATACTGAACACAATAGAAAAAAAGATTAGTCAACACAAAGATAGGTCAATGGAAATCATTCAAACTGAAAGCACACAGTGAGCAAAGAGAGAAACAATATGAACAATAATAATTGCATATCATCAAATGGTCTAACAAATGTATAACTAGATCCCAAAAAGAGAAAAGCTGAGAAGGGGTAGCAAAAACATTTGCTGAAGTACTGGCTAAAAATTTCCCAGATATTATTTAAAACCAGTTTGGTGGTGCTGTTTGTGGTAAAGGTATTGGGCTGCTAACCAAGAGAGCAGTGGTTCAAAGCCACAAGCCACGGGAGAAAAATGTGCCAGTACCTTTTTTTAAAGATTTATGAATTGGAAACTCTATGGGGCAGTTCTATTTTGACTTTACTCTGCCTTCAGAGTTGTTAGGAGGTAACACTGACTTGATAATATCAGTTTTCTTCAGGATTTTTTAAAAAAGAAAAAGGAACCCGCAGACCTAGCAAACTAAGTGAACCCCAAGCAGAATAAATACAAAGAAAATCATTACAGGGTATTACACATCTAGTTAAATTGCTTGAGACCAATTACAAAGAAACAAAAATTAAAAGTCAGGGGAAATAACAAAATATGTATATAAAGAAAAAAGAGTAAGAATAGTGACTTTCTTCTTCTGAAAAACATTGCTTTCTGGAGACTAGAAAACAATGGAATATCCTTAAAATGTTTAAGGAAAGAAGTCAACCTAAAATCCTATATGCAGCAAAAATGTCTTTTAAAAAAAGAAAAAAAATGTCTTTCAAAAATGAAGTTAAAATATTTTCAGACATACAAAAGCTGAGAATATTTGTGTGCAAGTACTCCTCAATTAATGACCTCATTCCACTTTCACAATTGTACAGAGTATATATTATTTCCAGTTTATAAATGAAACTAATGAGTTCAAAGAGTCACTTACAAAATGTCGTATTAGCTAATTACTGGAAGAATCAGATTTTGAAATAAGATCTTTTCACTCAAAAACTGTCTAATGTTCATTCTCATAAACTGGAAAATATTTTTAACCAAGCAGTCACATAATTACAACCTATATCCTGACAACCAATGAACATTCCCTGAAGATATCCTTGTGTTAAAATGCAAATTTGTTAGGAATAAGGAAACCTGTTAGCCATAAATTCCCATGGAGAGTAGCCCTGAACATACTCGCTTGTGCAGACGTTCTGCTTCCTCTTGATACGCAGCAAGCTGCTGTTTCCATTGTTTCACATTGGCAGTGGACTCCAACAGGGCTGCGGTGAGTTTGGCATTATTTCCTTTGAGGGTAGCCAGTTCAGCCTCCCAATGTTTGCTGATGGCTGAACTAAAAGAACAGAAAATAAAAATTCTATCCATTACACAGAATATTGTTGCTTTGAAGGCACTTAAGTATACTCAATTCTATTATAGGTTTTATAGTCCAAGAATGTTTCAAAGACAAATAAAAAAAAAGACTAAAAGAACAAATATTTCACTGATATGTTCCTAGAGAAACAGATCTAGCAAATAAAGAAATAAAAAAAGCACAAAATAGTAGGCTTAATGTGGAACAGGACCAACAATTATTATGACAGAAGCAGACATCCACCGTGGAGTTACTATCCATTTTCCATCAAGGAATAAACATTAAGTCCACAAAAATACCTAGAAATAAAACTTAGCAATGCACTATATTCTTTAAGAGTATACCAAAGGCTGAAGTAAGATTTCATTTAATAGTGAAATGTCAATGCTAATCAATTTTGTTACATATAATATAGTACCCCTCCAGAAATGGATTTATTTAAATTTATTCTGCATTTTATTTTTTCCTTCTGGTTTTTAATTGTAGTTTTAACAAAAATTTACTGAAAAATTGGATTTTCATTCATTCATAGTTGTATTCTAAATTTAAAAATTAAAAAGTTGTTTCAAGAAATTTATTTTAATCATATATATAATATAAATTTATTTGAATCATATATATAATATAAATTTATTTGAATCATATATATATATATATATTCTAAGGATTTAATTCTTGGTATAATTTCAGGGTCATGTATAGAACAAAATTAAAGCTATCACCTTTTGCCTCATTTAATGTTCTACTTGATAAGTTACACAAAGTTAAGTATCTCAACCAAGACTGTTTTCTATTACAAAGACAATTTAATTAGTTGGGAAGACCCCTCTCGGATAATTCCTTTTTTAACTTTGCAATGAAGAAATAATTGTTTCATTTGAAATAAAAGGTTCTTTCTTTTTCTCATTATTGAGTAGTCTATTCCTATTAGTGCAATTCTTCTACCCATGTCCCAGTAATTAACTAAGTAATGCTTATTGTTTTCTTTAATCACCATTTTTGCTGATAAATCAAATCACAGAAGACATAAATCCATTTTGTTTTGATAAATCCAATCACAGAACAAATAATATACACATATGCAGTCTGATCTCTATACATCGTTACAGTAATTTAAACATATTAAATAAAAGAATGGACACATAATTTCTATCACCAAAATTTCTAAAGCTCATCACCAATAATAAGATATTCTAGATTTATTAACCCTTGATATGATCCATCTACCAGGAAAATCTGCTGTTAGGGACCTCTCCAGGGTACTGAAGAGCAATGGTGTCACTCTGGAGGCTAAGGTGCGTCTAATACAGTCTTTGCAATCACTTGTTATGCATCAGAGAGTTGAACAATGACTATGGAGCACAGAAGGAGAATTGATGCCTTTGAGCTGTGGAGCTGGAGAAGAGTGTTGAGAGTACCATGGACTGCCAAGAAAACAGATTTATCCTGGAGAGGGTTAAGCCAAGCTGCTCCTTGGAGGCAAGGATTCTGGGGCTTCATCTGACATACTTTGGACATGCTGTAAGGAGGGAGAGGTCCTTGGAGAGGGACATCATGCTTGGGAGGGTGGAGGGACGGCGCAGGAGGGGACGACCCTCTATGAGGTGGATTGATTCAGTGACTGGGGTAATCGGGATGGGCGTGTCAGAGGCAGTGAGATTGGCACAGGATAGAGCAGGGTTTAGGGCTGTTGTGCATAGGGTTGCTATGAGTCGCAAGCGACTTGACGGTACATAACAACAACAACAACCACAAGGATATAGCACCACTTTCATGAAATTCTTACCCAAAATGCATATCTTCAGTAGAATCATAAGAAAACATCACATAACATAAATTAAGGGATCTTGATGTTGTGTATCATTGAGTTGGAAATGACCCATAGCTGACCTTCTAGTGGGCTGACCTTCTAGTGGATTTTCAGAGGCAGTTAATTGCACGGGAGGAGATTGTTCATTGTCCTCCTGCAGAGTAGCTGGTGGTGTCAAACTGCATGCCTTTGGGATTGCAGTGCAGCTTCTTGCCACTATTCTACAGAATATAAAAGGAGTTCTGGTGGCCTAGTGGTAAGAAGTTGCACTGAGAACTCAAAGACATGCAGTTTGAATCCATCAACTGCTTAACAGGAGAAAAATGTGCATCATCTCCCATGTGATTTACAGCCTCTGAAAACCTGCTGGAGGTCAGTTAAGAGTTGATTTGGACTCAACAATTAAAGTCAGGGCAAGACCAGGATTTATCTCCAAATAGAAGAGCCTAAGTTGAAACACAGAGAACAGTGTTGGCTCAGTGGTGCAATTACCAATTGAATCAGGAGAACATGGTTCAATTCCTGACCAATGTGCTTCAAGTACAGGTACCATCTGTCTGTTGGTGGAGGATTGGGTGTTACCATGATGATCGGATTTCAGGGTAGCTTCTGTACTGAGCGCACTAAGAAGAAAAGCCTAGAGATTTCCTTCTGAAATATTAATCAACAAAAGCCCTATGGATTGCAATTGGATCTGGAGCCATTCATGGGGATGGCACAGCAGAGGCAGCATTTTGTTGTGGTGTGGAATGGGTTCCCTAAACTGGGGGCAAAGTGATAGCAACAAACAAAGACAGGAAGAAAAACTAAATAAATGTAATGTTGGATTCTGAAGAGTAGGCTTCCAGAATAGAAAAGGGACATTAGTGACAATTGATGAAGTTTATAAAGGGTCCATAATTTAAACAGCACCGTTTTATTAGTTCCATTAACATTAATTTCCTCGTTTTAATTATCATATTATGGTGATGTAACATGGTAACATTAAGGGAAGCCAGGACTGTATGTTTTAGCAACTTTTCTCTAAGTCTAAAATGAGTTTAAAATGAAAAGCTGAAAACATTTCTGAAGTTCACTACTTGAGAAAATTTAATAAAAGCCTGAAAGGGCAAAATCAAATAATATGCTAAAGCTATTAATTTAACAACTCATTTCTATCCTCAAAAAGAGAGCTCTTGTATTTCTCCTTTTGTAGAATGACTGTTCAGATTCAAATCTGCTTAACAAAAACATGCACCAATTCACCTGTTCTCACTGAATTCCAGAATTTAAAAAAACCCAAAACCTCCAACACCCCAAAAACCACCCACCAGTTTTTCCTCTAAAAAGATGAGTTTTATTTAAAGGGACCCTTCAATTTGGTTTTCAGTCATAGGGCACTTATAAAATGACAAGTGAAATCTTACTGAACACTTGACATATGCAAATATGAGATCCTTTAAAAATTAAAAAGAATAAAGATTTTGAACATATATTTCTAAAATCCATTTGTCTGGCATAAGCTACAAAACTATAAATAAGATTACCAATTGTCTTTTTGGATGCAGGAATGACATCCACTTCCTAAGCATGCCTCTAGAAACACTATAAACTTTGCTAAATGTCGAGAGTTGTAGAGGTGCTTCAAGGCCTTTTGTTCATAGGGTCACTACGAGTTGTTCTTGACTCAAAGGCAATCAACACCACCACCACCACCACCACCACCAATTGTCTTTAGCAGGGAAAAGAACAAAAATAAGGGTGGTTTTTCACTTTATTTCACCAAGTTTTATATTATACTGTCTATGAGCTTTGCTGGCCTAGTAGTAAGGAGCTGAGTTACAAACCCAAAGGTATGCAACTTGGACAGACCACCCAGAAAAAGGGAGTCTCTTCCCGTGTGATTTATTGCCTCTGAAAACCCACTGGAGGATCAGCAATGAGTTGTTCTAACTCAAGAGCAATGAGTTATGAGTTATGTAGGAAATCTACCACAAATCAAAAACACAAACCCATAACAGCCTACATCACAATTATTTTAGCAATTATTTATGTGACCTTGGACAAGTTCTAAACCAATTCAATCTCAGTTTTTTCATGTAAAAAAGGAGATTAATGTAGATCTGCATTGCCAATATGTTAGCCACTGGCTTCATATACTTATTTAAATTTAAATTATTTACAATTAAATAGTCACAAATTCAGCTCTTCAAATGCATTAACCACTTTTCTATACTTAATAGCCTTGTGTGACTTATGGTTGTTAGATGCCACTGAGTAGCCTACCGACACACAGAGATCTTTTTTTAAAAAAAATGTATATTTTTAATAATTTGTAGTATCACATATGATGATATTAAATGTTTAATGTCTTTACAGAAATCAATATATTAGTTCTAGAAATATTTGTTCTTTTGGAAATACCTTCATTAGAGTAACTATAACTTGTCATTTTCAAAGAATGATTTACAAAGAGAAAGTGCAGAAGTTGAAGCTGTAGACATACAGAAATCTTAGACAACAGAATGAAATACCACCTCATTCTATGCCACCTTCAGAAATGCTAATTGTGCTTGAACTCACTGTCACAGTCACTGTGTCAATCCATCTTGTACAAGGTTTTCCCTTTTTTCACTATCACTCTACTTCACCAGTCATATCTTTCTCCAGTCTCACTACTCCTGATAACATTCCCAAAGTATGTGAGCTCAAGTCTTACTGTTCTCACTTCTAGGCAGCACTCTCACTGTTCTCCAAGACAGATTTTAGTTCTTTTGGTGCTCCACAATGTATACAATATTCTTAGTCAACATAATTCAGCAGTATCAATTCTTCCTTGACTTTCATTGTCCAACTTTAACATGCATATGAGGCAGCTGAAAAAATTGTGACTTGGGGCAGAAGCACCTTAGTTCTTAAAGTCATACTCTGTAGGTTCTTTGTAGCAGATTTGTCCACTCTATTTGTATCACTATATGATGTATTTCTTTATTGCTGCTTTCAGAGGTGCTGATACAAGTAAAATGAAGTCACTGGCAAATTCACTCTTTTTATTATATTGCTGTTCACTGGTCCAATTGTGAGAAATTTTGTTTTCTTTATTTTAAGATACAACCCATACTGAAGGCTACAGGTTTGGTTTTTAGTCTGCAGTTTTTTTAACTCCATCAGAGCTTCAAATACTCTTCAC